TTGTGTAATGTGATGAATGCAAATGTAGATAAATACAACAAAAATATATTAGTCTGAATACTGATGTTTCAATACTCAAGCGGCTATAGGTTTATTACAAAAATCAGTTTTCTATTTGGTTTTGGTAAGATGTTTGCTTAATATTCTTATTTAGATCAGCAAATTTTGTTCGTACTTAGCAGAAATCAGAATGATTCATTGTTGTTAAGAAAAACTTTTTATGAGCTCAGCTGCATTTTTAAATACACAGCTTTATGGATGTAAATAAATACATTTAACATCTATGATGTAATGCGTAGTTTCAAATTAAAAATAACATCGTCATCATCAAACAATAGGGTAAACCATGTTGAAATTTGTGTGTTTTTGCACTTGAAGATTTCATTTGCTTATAACTTTTTAATGCCTTACTGTAAAAATTTACTGTTGGTCTTAAATTATCAAATATTGTTGGAATTTTCATTTTTTATACTTAGTGATGGTTATGCTGCTTATAGGAAGAGAAATTTGACATTTTTGGTCAAATGTTGAAATTTGTGCGGAAAATTTTAAAATTTGTGCAAAAAAATGTTGAAATTTGTGCGTTTTTTTTGACAGCAAGTATTGACACATTTCAATTCAGAAATGTAAACAAACAATATTGTTTCGCATTTTCGAGGGTTTAAATGGTGATTGCTTTTAAGGAACACTTCCAAATAAACTCCATTTCAATTTTAAAGGACATTGCTGCATTAATGAATTTTTTTCAAGATTTCCAAATTTATTTATCATTATGTATATCATTTATGTTGACTGAGTATGACGAGAAGACACCATTAAAACCAAGCACATCCTACAAATGTTTTTTTCCAAAATTTATTCACGATAAAGTTTACAGAATTTTGCAAAATTGTTTTGAGAAATAAAAGAAAGAAGAGTATTTTAACGAAGTTTATTGTGTATCATCTATTTCGGAATGAAAACAGAACGTAGTTATTGAATGCTTTTTAGTTCTTGTAATATTTTTTGAAGTTGGTTGTATTTTTGAAATTTCTTGATTTTGTATGAATATTTGAGTCGAACACATTTTTCATTACTCTCAGTTCATGTCTTCTTCGTGTTATTTTTGTCTTAATCTTGATTCATGTCTCTAAAAACCCGATTTTGATTGTAAATAATTATTTTTGTTGACAAAATGTGCCACTGCTTTCTACGACAAAAACACACACAAATTTCAAAATTTGTCAAAAAATTTCGCACAAATTTCAACATTTGAAAACAACTCATTTTAAAATCAATTTTTGAAGGACTTTCAATGACTTTTCGTACGCAGAAACTTTTTTAATCGAAAAAGCAATTAAGAAAATTTGTTTTTCAACTCTGATGGGGTAAGAAGAATCATTAGTTGAGTTCAAATAATTAAAAAGATGAAAACTTTCATTTTGTATAGGATTTTGAATAATTGAAATATAAAGCTATAAGAACCTTCAACACAACCCAAAATGAAGTAGAAAAGTTTTAATAACTGCTTTACAAAGAACTGCATACAATTTTTTTCTATAAATGGTTTAGTTTAGATGATTTACATTTCATTTGATCTCACAAATTTCAACATTGCACAAATTTCAACATGGTTTACCCTATTCCGTTTTTAAATAAACGTAATTACGCAATTCTTTTAAACATTGTTGTCTTTTTGTTCTACAAACTCTATACAAGTCAAGTCATAAAGGCATCAAACTCTATTTAATTCAATGACATTTTTTAACCGAGCTAGATTTTTTCTGAGCTAATTCAATTATAATTAATTAAAGAAATTATCGAATTTTATCTTCTCCAAAAATAAAATTCGATGATTTTTAATTAATTTAAATTGTTTAAGTTTATACTATAAACATCTGGAATATTAAGTTTGATTGCCATACAATTGAGAACGAATTTTTTAGTTTAAAGTGTGAAATACGAAAATGCGAACATAATTTTAGGAAATTTTCCAACAAGTTAATTACTCTTTATGTGCATATCAACTAGAACGAAAGGCTATTAAGAACAAAAAAAATAGAACCTCAACATGTTACTTTTAACATCAATAAAGAAAACTAAAATGACCTCATTAATATCGATGTGAGCATTCATCATCACGAACAGTTTAACGTAATAAAAAAAAAAATGTATATTTATAGCGGAAAGAAGAAAAAAAAATCATAAATGGACAAATTGTAGATAAATTCTATTGTCTTACCTTTCTTATTTAAATGTACATGATTTTCTCATTCTACACATTAATGTATTTATATAGCCCCATGTGTATATGGATTTGATTGTTTGTGTGCTTAAATAATGAATGAGGTCAATCTTTTATGTCAATTAACGGGTTAAACTTTTGTTGTATAGCTTTGTTCTCTTTCTCTGCGTCTCTATTTTTTTCCATAAAACTTCATACTCACATCAAGCCTTTATGCTACGAGAAAAGTTATGACTTTTTCAGCTGAAAATGAATTTTATAGCTAAAATTGATTTCTTAACATCGAGAATGGGACTGAAAGTTCCAAAAAATTTTATTGAATTTCATATGCAGGAATGTGTACAAACTTAAGGCTGATCAGCTTGAAAAAGGTTAAAATTGAAATTAATTAAAAATTCAAACCGTAACAAATAATGTCAAGCAGATTAGAATCACTTCCTTTTCTATATCGATGGATTGCGTGCCATGTTTGTCATCTTTAATGTAAATCATATCGAAAAACTATTATTTCAGGGGTAATGTAAGGAAAATATTAGCAAATAGATAAACAATAACAACGCTACTATTCATATGATAATGTATAAATACTTAGGCAGAAAGATTTGTGGCGACATTCTCGTAAAACCAATAGGCTGCTTTATATCAAAAATGTATAAAAGTAAAATGCGAGTTGGTTAACAAGAATCTTGAGACATCAAAATCAGTTAATGCACAATTCAAAGGTTTGATGAGTTTCTGATGTTTTTATGTGCTTTAGGGGAATGTAAATAGTTCCGTTCTCAATAATAGCATACATTGAACATCTGTAGAGAAGTTTTATATTTCTCGAGATATGTATAATTGCTGGAAAGTTGAAAACTCTCTTTTCCCATTTAACTTATGAGCTTTTTCGATTTATCCAAAAGTTAAAAGTTTTGATGCTCAGTTCAAGCACTTCCTATATAACATAAAATACTGTTAAATCAAGTCATGAATATTTAAAAGCATTTTTCAATCGATTGGAAGTTCCGAACGAATTTGATGAAAAGATTAGAAAATGAAAAAAATCCAAATATAATTTGTCATTGTATGAAGAATTTTGATTTTGTTGATGCTATTACTGTATGCTATCTAATCACCTTAAATTCATTTCAATGGCGCCTTATAGCTTCTTTCGTTGTTGAGGAAAAATAAATAAAAAAAGAAAAATATTTTTAATGTTCCTAAGGAGTGAGAGAGGAAAATTGGTGGAAAAAAATCTAGGTCAAATGTACATAAAGCACAGTTCTCATTTATGCTTCGTTGAACGGAAATGATACAGAAGAGAATAATAAACATGTAGTAGTATATAGAGAAAAATTATGTGCTATAGTGGGGGATATAGAGAATAGTGGGGTTGATATCAAAACATTTTCATTTTTAGTTTCAATATGAGTGAAAATAACGAATGCTTACGAAAATCATTTTGCTTGTATTTTTATATGTCATAAGGGTAGAAAATATGTCCAAAGAGAATTCACAAAAATGGGGAAATTCGTAACATTTACATTTTTTGTGTGAAAATTTCACCATATACAATAGAATTGATTTTCTCACACTAATACAGGCAAATATGGAAGGAAAAATTTTCTTTATAAAATAGAACATTTTGTATACATATAAATAAATATATAAGCACTCCCGATATAAATATTTCATAACATGTACCTTATTATACATACTTGTTCATGGAAAAAGAAATTTTCCTACAAATACACTCAAATATTATTTTTTTCGGAAAAATAAAATAAACCTTTGATCGTATATGTGAGCCACATGTCGTAATAATAAATGGTAAGTTAGAACATTTTTTGCCTCCTTTCTTCCTTTCATTTAGATTTCGACGCAATACAAAAAATAAAAATATCGATCGTTTTCAACAACAGCAATAGCATACAATGTTGCGGATAAAAGTTATTGTATTTCTTCTCAGGAAGGAAAATCAAACAAAATGAAAGCTTTTTTTCTTTGTAGGAAAATTCGTACAAATTTTTTTTTGATGGATAAAATAATAAATTTGTTTACAAATATTGATTTAATTAGAAAAGAAGGAGATGTATATCACAAGGGGGCATTTAAAAATTCTTTATAAATATCAACGAAGAAAAAACATTAATCATGTCCAACAATTAACAAGCTTCCTAGGAAAAATTTGATTAAATTAAAATAGTGTGCCTTAATTACATTAAAGAGCGTTGAACTGCAATATTGAACAGTATTATGTTTTGGCATCTGTTTTTAATTTTCAACAATTCATTTATAAAACAAAAATCTTTTTTTTTCTCATTGCAAAAATAATCAAAACGACGAAACTAGGTTAAAGTTTATTTTTATTGAAGATTAATGTTTTACTCAGGATCAATATATCATTTTTGATGAAGAAAAAGCGATTTAACATGAAGTTTACTTAAAGCAGTCAAAAGCTCTTTTTAACTTTTGAAAATCTAGTACAATTTATTATGAAAAATAATTCAACTGTTTTAACGAAATTTTTCAGAGATTTAATACCATAATAACGGATTACGAACTAGTGAGTTCTAGAAGATTTTTGTGTCTATATTTCTAATTTTCTCCATATCCAACTTCATCCAAAGTTCTAAGTATTCTTATTAAGTCATAACTAAATCGAGTACTAATGTTTTTCACAATTTATTTTATAAGTTTATATCTCACACAAAACTATAATTAGTATGAATTCATCTCAATAATTATAAAATGAGTTTTTACTTAGTTTATATTACAAAATAAACAAAAATAGCTGCTTCCCATCAATGTCACAATCACAGTTAATTGTCAATGTCAAAGGTTTGAATTGCGTGAAGCTACCACTTGCATGGATTACGATCATATGATCCAATATACATTTTACAATTTTCACAAAAATGATTAGCAGTTTTAGTTGCATTATTTGTTATGTAAGGTAATGGAGCACAACACCAGCAGCTATTAATTGCGATATTTGAGAAATTGAATTAAGTTACACATTAGGAAGAGCTTAACGAGGTACTTACCAAGCTACACATAAAATAAGGGCAAATAAATGTGTTTTGAGAGTTGTGGCAAAGCTAATTGTTGTTTTAGTTTCTCGTAAACAACTTGGACAAGGTGTCAATTTGATGGGATATAAGCCAATGCGTGATTGATTTCGTAAAACTGTAGCAGTTGCAACTAAAATTATAAATTCCATAGTAATACTTTTAATATTTAAAATTCAAATGTATTTATGCACCTGGTTGTTGTATTGGAGAATACGCAGGAGGTGCTGGTTGAGTAGGTTGAACTTCAAAACCTTGAGATTCTTCCGTTGGCTGTTGTTGCCACCCGATTGCATTGTATGCATTTGGTTCTGGTTGTGATATAATGGGATAAACTTCAGCATAAGCTGGTGGATATGGTGTTTTTTCAGTATCTAGAGTTTTTGTAGAACATGAATAAATTTACAAATGAATTAAAAAAATATTTTAAATCTTACTCATGTTTGATTTTGACGAACTCAACCAACTCGCACTCTTGACCAACTAAAAAAACACTTGTTGTTTAAAGCTTTACTTTTTTTAACATCACATAACAAAATACAAAGAAAATTCCACAAACAAATACAATATCTTTGTAGTGCTGATGTATTGGCAAAAGAGTAAAGCATTTTATGCTCTGTAATTTATATACGCAATGCTCAAATATAATGTTGTATATCTTGAACTTTACAAGTTCATACTGTTGTTTTATTAAAATAATAATAGAAGAATTTGAAAATAAAAAATTAAAGAATTAAGAGACTAAAGGTTTCAGGAGTCGAAATTTATTTTTGAATCATTTAATGTTGACAGCTTTTTTTTTCTTGGTAAACAGTAATGCATTTTAGCGACCATTTATTGTAAGTAAGAAAATATTTACTAATCAAATTGACGCTAAAGTGTAAATCTGTTCAATCTTGCCTTGTTAAACAATATCTAATTCATTTGGCATTTCATAAATATTTATTAATTTTTAAAATCATTCTACATTTATTTTATGGAAAAATTGAAATTTTTAAAACTGCATCAATAAGTATAATAATTTGGAAAAGAATTGGACAGAAAGAAAAATTATCATATTCAGTGACGATTAATTCGCTTGTCTAGTACAAATGCAAGATTGTTGTGGGTATAGGAATACTTTTGTCGAATACATTTTATGTTAAGATAAAGACATTCCTACAATTTCTATCTTATTTTGAGTCATTACACTGACAAAATTTGCTAGGACTTTCTCAAAGTCTAATTATTGAGTATTCATTGAACATATTTTTTTTACATCATATTGAAGTTTTAATGTTATTAGTAAATGCAAAGGAATTTTCCTTTATACTCATGTGTACTAGCAATAATTTAATTTTCATATTCTACTCTATCAAACTAATACTAATGACTACTACTTAAAATTTATAAATTATTGAAATACAATAATTGATATTCGATAATTGGAAACTAAAATAGAGATTTGTTTACTCGAATACAACGTTTTAATTATATCTTTCTTAACAAAAATATTTGTAAGATTAATGCATTGAATTACTACGATATCATTCAAATATTTTAAGTTAAAGTCGATTTTATATTTATGGAATATTCTAGGTTTAAAACGTAATGAAAATAAGTACATCACAACCTACTGATCTCGTAGAATCTTACGACTTTTCTATAAAATAATCCACAAAAATAAAATCGATCTTTAACGTAACATAAACTTATTTTAACACAGTTTCTTATTATTTTCCTTTTTTTTTCCTCTAATATCAATATCAATTTAATAATTTTTATATATTTTTTCTCCATAGAATTGTTTGTTCAGCTCCGCTTAATAAACTTTACGTTAAATTTCTATTCTGAGTGTAAGGTAGGGAAAAATAAAAATTTTGAATGATTGTTTCAAATTTGATTCAAGTTTGTTAAATATTTTTCTTAAAATTCAATTCAAATTTTCATTAAATAATTCACAGATGATTTATTAAGGATTAGTTGCATGAAGTCATGCATTCGCACAGGTGTCTTGATAGTCAATAAATTCTAAAGATAATAATAAATAATTTTCATCATTTTTAAATTCTAATCTATGTCAGACTCTAAATCATCAGCAAAAGGGTCGTCATTGTCATCTTCTTCGTCTTCTTCCGCAAGTGTCACAGAATCGCTTGATTGACTTTCTGTTGATTTTTTCTTCTTTTGCTTCCCGTTTGGTACACTATTATTGTTATTGATAGTTCCGCTTGTTGACGGCAGTGGATCATGTTGCAAACTTGCAAGATTGTCATAATTTTCGGATTTCTTCATTTCTCCAGTCTTTGACAACAATCCAGATGATGTTTCCGTTGAAGTTGTATTATTTGATTTTGATGTGGAAGGCTGTGGTTCCTGTGGTTGAACTTCTTGTTCGACTTCTACAATTGGTAATTCCTTTCGAGGATTTTGCTCTTGAAAATCCTTAATAATTACACCTTCATTGAGTCGCTTTCCATCTCTTTGTGATTGCTGTTGCTTCTGAACAGCTCCAGAAGGTTTGAATGAATTATTCTCAAAGTTGAAGGACCAATTACGGAACGGATCATCTTGCTGTATTCGTTGTCGCGAGCCATTAAAACTTGGACTTTCTGACCTTGCCCTAAAAGCACTTCCTCCACGTTGTACATTCTCATATTGAACATTTTCTGCGTCAGTTTCATGTAAGCGTGAAAGTTGTGGTGTATTACGTATTATTCGTGGATATTGTCCATTGTTCATCATTGGATATTCTCTTGATGGCTGTTGATACAGACTTGGATCAAGCATTTCAGCTTGTCCATTAAATTGAACGACGCCTTCATGCCCAATTTCATTTAAATGCCCAGATGGAGAACAGTTCCGACTAAACATGAAATTAAAATCAATTATCTTATAATCTGGTCCTAATGGCAACCATTTGTTCATGAGTAAATACTGTAATGATGATTTTGAGAAATTTGCCTTTGGTATAGGTGGTGGAATTGGTGGACTTACTGCAGATGATGACGAAGCGGATGATGATGTTGTAGCAACAGTAGAAGAAGATGTGCTCGGTTTGGGTGAAACCTTATTACTTTGCTTATTTTTAGTCTTTGGTATTGCACCAGTTGATCGTTGTTGTGATGTTGCAGGAACCAATCCTGGATTTTGTGATGAGCTTGAATCGCTATCATTTATACTGTTCATTGATTGAGAATTTTCACCTCCTAGACAACTAAATAGTGACTTTACACCTTCACGTGGATTTTGTGAGGAACCAACTGGCATTTGATTCTGATTCATCACCATTGAATTAATATGTGAGTGACTTAAAACTGCATAATGTCCACCGACATTATAGTGGTCAATGTTGCCACATGATGAACTTAAGTGTCGTTCTATTCTCCCTATTCCATGTCCAATTACATCCAATCGACCATACATTGAATTGTTTGCAGCATTTTGATACAATGGTTCATCTCTAATTCTCTCGTACATATTGTAGCCATTATTTGATCCATAATAGCACGATTCAGTATCATCAAAACTTCTTTGATGTTGATGATTTGCTGATGTACAACGAGGTCGAATATCAAGATGTAAATTTGAACGTCGTTTACCATTTGCATAATTGTTTTGATTTCGAGCATTTCTAGGAATGTCATATCCACCATTTCGATCGTAAGCATCATTTCGGTATTGTGGATGATATTGTTGTACAGGGGGAGGTTGTGGACGGTTTGCATTATTCTGCTGAAGGTTTACAATTTGTGCCACATTCGGCTCGTTCTGTTGTGCAGGGACACCGAGCGGTACAGCATCGACATTTTCATAATGATTTACACCATTTTGTTGGACTTGGGCTTGTGCTTGAACTTGAACTTGTACTTCAAAGTTGTTAGATTCTGCCTGACTATTTTCATCGTCATTTTGTCCATTAATGTTGATGTTGTTAGACGGTGCACTCGATGCACCCTGCTCCTCATTTCAGATTGGCGGTTTATCTATCATTGAACATCCAGCGTAACTACGTCCAATATTCATACATGCTGACAACAATCTCCATGAGTCTGACTCTGGATGATAGATTTCGACTGATGCTAAATTGCTAGTACCATCATCACCACCAATAACGTATAATAATCCTCCATGTGCCACAACTCCAGCATTACGACGACAGAATGCCATATCAGAAACTTGATGCCAAGTATTTGTTTCTGGATTGTAATATTCAACTGATTTTCTGACTAATGGTCCATCATGACCACCACAGCACCAAATTAAACCATTAAGTACTCCAACACCTGCACCACTTCGTCTAGCTGACATATCTGCCACAGCAATCCAAACATCTGCTTGTGGATTATAAGATTCAACAGAAGATAAACATTGCCGTGTAGCGCCATCATAACCACCCACAGCGTAGAGCTAAAATAAATAGTAAATAGAAATTCGCACTTGTTCTTAACGTGGAAATAAACTTTAATTACCAAGCCATTTAGCACACAAACTCCAACAGATGATCTTCTTGTTGACATTGAAGCAATCATTCGCCATTCTTGGGTAGTCGGATCATATTTCTCTGCTGAACTCAAACCAGTTGATCCATCAAAACCTCCAACCGCGTAAATACAGCTATTAAGCACAGCAACACCTAACGTAGAGCGACGAGCCTCCATAGAACAACAACTACTCCATTGATCCAATACAGAATCGTAAATATCGACTGTCCGAACTATAAATACCCGATAAAAGAATTATCAACCTAATTTGATTGTTTTGTAATGAATCATCTTACCTCTTATGGCTCCATTAAATCCACCAACACAGTACACTTTATCACCTAATACAGCAACACCAGCTCGACATCTTCGGCTAGGCATTTCAGCAGCCTGATACCATTTTTCCTCTCTCAAATCATAACATTCAACTGAACGAATAGCTTTTGGTGCTTGACCACCAATAACAAGTAGAACTTTAGGCCTTCCAATTGGTCGACGGGGAATGGTTCTCGGTGTATTGAAACTAAATATTAATTTTTGTTCGTTCTTCAAAAGATGATATTTTAATGCTTCAATAATTAGGTCTTTGCATTGAATATCGCCTTGAAGTAAAGGTTCCTTTTCAACTCTTTGTAAAATATAGTCTTGCGATAATAAGGGTAATCTAACATGCTGCATTAATCTTCCTAAATGCTGCTGTCGCGACAATGGATCACTTTGTATCCAAGCAATAACACATTCAAAGATTCTCTCCTCACTTGGTATGGAAAGTGAATCACTTCTAACGAATGCTTCAACTTGATCTGCGGTTAGATTTAAAAATTCTTCAAACTGTACGACTTCAGAAAAATGTTGCTGGATGTATGAGTCAGCATAGTTAAATAAATCCACACATCCATGAATATCAGCAAATTCCCTAATTCCTAAACAATTACTTGGATCAAGTTGTGACTGAAGATAGTCACAGCATGCCTCACGAACATCAGTCAGTTGAAGAAGATTAGCGGCGGTTAAAAGAACCTGGACGTTGTCTTCGTTTACAATTACGACGGATGTGTATACGTATTCGACAAGTAATTCAAGTGCATGATAATCAACTCCTTGAATTGTTATGCGATCTTGACGAGACTCCTCGAATCCAGTAAACATTGCATAAAAATAAGGACTGCATGATGCAAGTACCATCTTATGAGCAGGAATTTCCATACCATCAGCAATAAGAATCACATCACAGAGTAAGTTTTGTCTATTGAAAAACATTAATTAATTATTGCCAGAAATGTATTCGGGTATTACCATAAATATACATACTTTCTCATTTCGTTCATTGTGTCAAATGAGCGATTAGTATGTGCATCATTTTTGTATGTTCCTGTTGATGATCTTTGACGTGGAATTTTCTGTGAACTTTCATCTAATGAACTTTGACTAGCACATCGGAGTAAGCAGCTGTGAATGTTTATAATTAAAATAATTTATGAGAACATGAAGTAAAAGAATTGAGCTAGTTCGTGTTGTTCTGTAAAATTTTCATCGTTCTTTTAACATGCAAATTTTAAAATAGATTTTTAATTCAAGACTAGTCAATTGCGCCGAAAAATAATAAGTCCACAACAAAAGAGGACAAAAGGTTCCAAAAATTAAAAATCACGAACAGACCTAATTTTTAAGATTCGTCTTTAATATCTCATTGCAATAAAACTGCTTGAAATCCAAAGTGAATTTATTACCTCACAGTGAGATATTTCTTCTATCTACATTTCTTACTAGAATTTTTTTACAATAAGTAATTTGAAAATTAATGTTATAAAACTAGATTAAAGCATTTTTGTTTCTTTCTCTGTTAGAAGAAAGCAATGAAATATTTTCTTAAAAGGATGAGTTTTGTTTATAAATTCAAGTAGTTGTTGTCAAGAGGCATTAGTTTCATGTGATCAAAATATAAACAAAATCAACCTTGAAACTTTCATTGGAAATGGACATGATAAAAAAATTAATTATTCAAACTTTATGAAATATTCAGAACAATAATTTGACTGAGTGATCTGGTAAATCTGTGTCCTAAATTGATTCAATGTGCGAAATACATAATACTCAGATTACAAAGGTCATGTTTTGTTATTAAACAATTTTTGTTTCTCTTCCTTGTAAAATAAAAACAGCAACAATGATCGTTTTTCACGTTCTCAAACTTGAAAGTATTTATGATTTATTAAAAAAGTCAGTGTTTATTATGAAAAATAATACAGCTCAAACCTTCGAAATAAGGAATATGAGACACTAATTTATAACAAAAAGAGCAAGGAGAACTCTCAGTTCAAGTGTGAACATGAAAATTGATTTTGTCATATTTTACATTTCAAAGTCTATTTTTATCTACCACAAATTGTCACCAAGTCTCTAATACTATAGCAAAATACACCGCAAAGTTTTTCATATGTGATTTCAATTATTCAAACATAAATATTGCATTTAAATATAGTCATATTTAATTTTTATACAACGCAATAGCAAAAAAAAACGTTAAAAAAGATAAAAAGTTGTTCTTTACCTCTCACGAGCTCTGTTGTTATTGTTATTAATGTTGTTGTTTCCTCCATTATTTGCATCCAGTACATTGGATAAGTTTTGATTCAAATTGTTATTGCTTGCAGAATTATTATTTGTCAAACTCATTATTGGTAAAATGTAGCTTTTTGGAATTTATTAATGCAAAATGTTGATTAATCCTTAATTTCAAGAATTAAAAGTCAACCAATTTGTTGTGTTAAAATGAAGAAAAAAATGTTTTCATCGATAGTCTTTTTTTCGACTGAAAATACTTAACAAAATCACGAGTCTTAATTACCGAAAAACAAACTTATGTTTACGAAAATCTAAAATGTTTAGCAGAAACTATTTTAATGCAATCCGAAAAAAAATTGATCCGACTTTTTTAATTTTTCATTTCTCAAAATTTTCTTCGGATAATAAAGTTTCTTTGGTTGTTGGGTTAACTGATTTTGTGCCTTTGCTACTTCATTTAAAACTTGTGTGATCGTTAAAATAAGTTTATTTGTAAAAAAAAATTTAAAACCTTTTTATATTAAAGAAATTATAATATTTACCAAGGCCATAGAACTCCCTGCACTATGTCTGCAATCACTATTTTTTTACTCAACTTTACAAATTTTTACTTATGTTTCAGTTCACTTACTATACAATGTATCACAATCACTGTAATTACTAAACTTTACTGCACTTAACTCCTCTTTACTTCTTTTTACTATATTTAAGTATACTAACCTATACTTTACTACACTTTTCTTTACTTTAGTATATACTTTAGTATACTTTACCACACTAAGCTTAAATTTTTCACACTTTACTACACTTTAATGCACTTTACTCTTACTTTTCTATACTTTATTTTTAATCAAATTAATTAGTGCATAATTTTAATCTAAATAGTTAAAGGTCTCTTAAACATGTGGTCCATTAATACGTTATACTCATACTTTCAAAAAAAATTTAAAAGAAAATGTTTAAAAACTTAACTAAAGGTTATAGAATTTTAAATATTATTTCTTTATTTGTTTTTTATTCTATCATTTTAAACCAAATTTAGCTGATGGAAAAGATAGAGCTTACAAAAACATAAAGCAATAATTCTGCTAAGGTAGAAATAATTTCATTCATGCCAAAGAAATTTCTAATTAATACCTTAAGTTTGTAAGGAAATTTGTCAAAAATAAAAGTATAGTATAGAAAAATTGAAAAATTTAAAAAAAAACCTAAAATGTTGTACTTTTGATTTTAAAGATGAGTATTTTTAATTGAAAACTTTATTTTAAAATTCAGAAGAAATGTTTTTTAATAATTATTAAAAAATTATGAAAAATTTTGCTTTAGCTTTAAGAATTTCATCTCGAATTGAATCAAATTTGATTTTTTCATTCACCCTTACATTAAAAAAAACTAATAAGGACAATTTGTATTAAGTTTAAATTTTTAAAAAAGCTATAAAAACAAGCTTGATATAAATTAGTTTCAATTTATTGGCATTTCAAAATTGAATATTTTGAATTTATTTTATAATATGCTAGTTTTTTATTTCAACAAGATTAACTTTCCAACAAACTTTTAAAAAATAAATATCAAAAGTGTTGATAACATTTCATTTTCCCTAAAACCAACAATATCAAAAACATTGATTCTCACACTCATAGAAAAAATATTAGAATTTGTATGGTTTTGGAAAAAAACCAAATATCGAATATTTGAAATTTCATACAAATCGGAAAAATCAAATATTTGAATATTTGATTTTCCTCAAAACCATACAATTATTTCTATGAGTGCTCTTTTCTTTCGTTACTGTTCTTCGAAATTTGGAAGACATCCTCAATGTTGAAATATTTGAATTTAGTTTAACAGTTTTATTTTATTTAAATGAGAAAAGATTCATTTTATCTTTGTTAATATTTTCTCAAGACAAAAGAATTTTAATGCATGAAATTTCCAGAGATCGAAGCCGATTTTTTCGGCTTAACTCAATTTTTGATTTTTTTGATAGAAAAGAGCCATTTAACTACCATTTTAAGTATTTAAATTGAACTTTACATGCTTTACTATGATTCTGTGTAATATTTTGTCAGCATGTAGCTATAGTAAGCTCAGAATTTCAATTTAGCCGATTTTAAGCCGATCGGCTTAAATTTCGGCTTAAAATCGTTTAACTTGAAATTCTGAGCTTACTATAGCTACATGCTGACAAAATATTACACAGAATCATAGTAAAGCATGTAAAGTCCAATATAAATACTTGAAATGTGTGTTAAATAGCTTTTTTCTATCAAAAAAATCAAAAGTTGAGTTAAGCCGAAAAAATCGGCTTCGATCTCTGGAAATTTCAAATGATAAGCGGTTCTTAAGTTGCGATAATATTGACTATTTATAAATAAATGGTATGGTTAAATATGCATTATTTCAAAATTATTGCACATCAACTTTAAACATTTTGGTTTTTAAAGTTTTAAACAGTTTTAGGATGCTGCACTTTCTATACTTTTACTACACTTGCTATACTCTTACTATACTGACTAAACTTTTACAACATTTTACTATACCTAAACTTCACTTGCTACTCTTTTGCTACACTTTGCTACATTCTACTATACTTTGGTTTACTTTGCTTCACTTTACAATATTTAACTACACTTTGCTCATATTAACTTAATTTTACTCAATAGTTTGTATACGTTACTGCACAATGCTCACTCACGGCTATACTATTTTGGGAGTTCTATGGCCTTGATATTTACTACTTTTTTATTTTGTGACAATAAAAGTAAATGTATTGTATTTAATAAAAGGATGGAAATTCTCATAAATTTCGATTACATAAATAAGCAGAGCCTTGCAATGGCGCATTGGAAGCGGGGGGGTCTTAAAAGTCAACCATATTTTTGATAAAAAGCTTCTCAACTTTTTAATTTTTTTAAAAAAATAAATCCATGTTAAAAATTGAATACGCTTGCTTATCAATTATCAGAAAAAGTGTGAATTGCTTTTGATTATAAAATAACACATTTAGTCTCAAAATTACTGATAATTTTATTTTTTTAATTATTAAGAAAAAGAAATTTCAAAATTTATTATGACTGAAAATATTTATTTATTGATCTAGACATAAAACAATAATTTTTAAACAGCGTCTTTATTATAATTAAAAATTAGGGTTGGTTTGGTCATTGACCAGTCTGGCTCCATGATTTCGATTGTAATAACAATTTTTGTAAACTCCAAAGAAAATTGCGGCTGCAATCATCACCAGTTGAAAGCAGAATAATGTTACCAAAAGATTTTCATTACGGTTAATTTCGGCTCTTAAATCCCCGCTCATTCTCTTGAGATCTTCATTTTTCTCGAGTTTCAAGTTAATATTGCTCAAGTCTTTATCTAGTTTATTTTTAGATGTCATGAACTTCTCACTTTGGTCCTTTGAAGTTTTTTCGAATCCTGTAATTTCCTTTTTAATATTATCAATTTTATCAGAAGTGTCTGATTTGAATGCTTTTAGTGTCCTTAAGTTCTCTTCAATTTTATTTGTCATTTTGACTTCCAAATTCTCTATATCTGCCTCTAAAGCATTTAATTTATTTTCATTTTCACTAATCTGATCTTCTATTATACTTGCTCGAATAGCTTCATACGAGGTTTCATTTGAATTAATTGATGTTTTGTTGGGTGCACATTTTCTGTACGTGTCCTTAACTAATTTGTCTATTGTCGTTGAACCGCTCAAACTTCGAGAGTCATAATGTCCATCAATGCAATCGTTGTTCATTAGTGATAACATTGTGAGTGTATTTGGGAATTCCGTTGTTATTTGTTTAAGCTTGTTAAATGACAAGTCAAGGAATTTAAGTTTTTGGTTATTTGCAAAAAGCTTTTGTGGTAAAATTTCAACATGAGTAAATCCTAGGACAAAACTTTCTAAATTGTCAACTTTAGTGAAAAGATCTTCTTCCAAAGTCTTAAGTTTGACATACTTAATGACAATCTTCTTAAGATCAGTGCAATCTTCAAAAATTTCTTTCTTTAATTCACTTATGGTTGTTCCATAAATATCAAATTTAGTTAATTTAGTCAAAACTCCACAAACTTTTGTCGGGACGAACTTTGTTTTACTTGAATCAGTAATGAAAAATACTTCCACATCAGTATCATTTTTGCCAAATTTGTGTTCACCGATTACTGATGTAATTTCTTTATTTTCTTCAAACACACTTCTCATCTCACAATTATAACCATCGCTATGCTTAATATAATCGCATTGGAGCTGTTCACCCGATGAGTAATTAATGATAATGCACAGTAAAAATATTAAGTTGACAAAATCATTGACTTTCATATTTCTTTCAATCTGTTCTGAACTTTCCTGAAGAATAATTTTAAGAAGACTAAATCTTTTTACTCTATCAAGCGTTACTTTTATACTTCAATATGCTTTTAATTTAAAAATTGAGATTAAAGAGAGTTCTCTTTGAAAATTGAGACTCTAAATCCTTTATGTCAATTTTAAAATAAAAAGATTTATTAAATTTAAGCAAAATGTTAAGAATAAATTCCAAATCTTTAAAATACAGATGAAGTTTATTAAACAACATGGTGTGAAATAAATAATTGACATCTCTACAAAGTAGATATTGAAAAATTATTAACAATATAAAACTTTAATTTAAAACTAAACACCTCATAATATCATCATAATCCACAATCTACTTCAAAAGTAAACATTTATTTCCTCGGAATGCTCATATATTCTCATTTAATTGAATATGCTTTATATGTTATCAGCTTATTATTGTTCAAGAAATGAAGTGATGAATAAATTCAATTAAATCTACACTAAAGATTCTGTTTTCAGGTCAGAGTGAAATTGATTAAATCATACTGATAAACCTAACGTGACGAAATCAAAAATCCTGTTTTGTATTATATTACAATCTATTTAGGTTTGCACTAGTTTTTAATTTTTGACAGAGTTGACAATAAAGAATTTAGCTGACATATTTTGCATGCAGTTCAGAGTTAACAAATAATTTATCATTTTTGCTACAGAATCGTCTGTACTTTGATTATATTTCTATAAAGGTGAACAGCGCTGAAAATGAAACAAAAGTTCTTGCTTATGAAAAATGGAACAAAATGAGATTGGACAAAAATTTTTCTTGTTTTTTATTTCCTTTAAAATCACAATTATCTCAATCAGTGTCCATGCTACTTAAAAGAAAATTATTAATATTATTTTGATTTGCTCTTCTCACAGTTATAAGAGTGATCATGAATAAGAGGATACTGACAATTACTAAAATGATCATCATATAAATCAATGTCTCGTTCCATGAAAATCTTCTTTCATTTTCCATGCTCAACTTATTAAGATCTCTCTCTATGTTATCAACTTTTGTATTTCTTCCAGATTCTGAAAAAGAGTATTTATTTTCAAACTCACTTTTGGCATCAACAAGGTCTTGATTGATTTTTCTCAACTCACTATCAACTTTGTCGTTGACAGCTTGTTGTTCTATTAAAGATGAATTTTGAATGTTTTCTAAAGAGAATTGACTTTTGTTAAGTCTCATTAAAATGCCATTATTGTAATTATCATTATTTTTAAGTGTGAAATTCATTAGCTTTTTAATTTCTAGTTCGTTTGAAATAATTGAGGCATTTAATTTGTCAATCAAAATTCTTACTGATGGATCTTCGGTTGTAGGGTCAACGATTGAGATTGATTCGTTACTGCATTTCTGATAAATAATATTAGCAGGTCTTGTGAAATTGCTATCGATGCACAAATTGTTTTTGAGGTCAATTCGAATGACACTTGTTGGAAATATTACATTAATTATTGCAAGTTGATTCTTCTGCAAGTCAAGCTTTAATAAATTTTGAGTTTTATCAAACAATCCTGATTGGAGGACACTTAATTTTGTTGAAGAAATTTCTAAAGTTCTAAGGATGTTTAGATCATTAAATACATCCGTTGGTAAACTTGTAAATTTAGAGTTTTGGATTGTCATTGAATCTAGTTTTGTACAGCCATTAAAAACTTCACGTGTCAATTCAAATACTTGTGATCCAAAGCATTCAAGTTCCATTAAATTGTCAAAGTAGGCACAGATTCCAAATGGAAGATATTTTGTAAGTGATGTCCTTTCTATGAACAAAACTTCAACGTGACTGTCATTTTTCAATTTATTATGAACTCCATTTATGGATGTAATAGTCGTATTTTGTTCAAAGTTTCCTCTCATGTGACAATTGTAACCATCACTATGAGTCATGAAATAACATGACAAATCATCTAATCTAACTAGATGTAGGCACCAAAATATAATTAAACCAAAAATCGTCCACATTTTTCAAAAAAAAAAATATGTTTTTGCTCCTTTTCTCCTCGAGTTCAATATGACTACTGATGCAAGCTTTTTTAAGAGCAAATTATTAAGAATATGACAAACATTGAGTGTCATACACTTTGATAAGCTCCTTAGTCAGAGTAAAACATAACGAAATCACAGTAGATAAGGAAGAATCAGTCATTGAATCAATTTTTTTGTTTATTTACAAACATTTTCACAATGAAGTAAGTTTTAGTGAAAGTGTGCAATCATAAAAGAATTTATTTGGAAAAAAGTAGCAAAAACTTTATTCAGTTTATTATTGTAAATTTTCAAATGAATGGATGTGATCTAATAAATAATTTTCTAATGCTCGTGAGACCTTTACTTTATTTAAATATCAAAGCGACTTATATGCAACAGAAAAAAATATTTTAAATGCTGTAGTATTTCGCAAAAGAGAGGTTTCAATGTGGGAAAAACATTGACAAGTTGTGTGAAGGAAGAAGAAGACAAACAAAAAAGTTCAGTTTTCTGTGTGTTTTGTTCATCACCATAAAGCAATGTTTCAGCTGATAACACGCTTAAAGTAATTGAGAATTTGATAAAATAAACCATGGTTAGTTTAATTTCTACCTTTACTTGCGCAAGTAATTAATTTGTTTGCGATTAATTTTGATATAAAAATCGCTCAAATAGTTGAAGAAATAATCTTTTATGCAACTAGAAAAAAATAGAACTATTTACTAAAGTGTGTGAGGTTGTTTTTCTCATTCGAATGCAAATTCAAAAAAGATTTAAAAATAATTAAATAACAAAACGAGTTTTATTGACATCCAGAGTTTTCTACGTGTCAGAAAATATTTGATTACTTAAAAAAGTTTTCTCTTTTTTTGTTTTTTAAAATTACAAAGGAAGTTTAACTTTTTTCTACGCTGAAAGCTTACACCGACAACCCTGTAAGTTGCAATGTATTTCTTCTACGAGCGTCGGATTGCCTTCAAATACTCGAATTTTCATTCATATAGTCTCAGTCTCTTTCAATTTCTCATTCCTTAAGCTTCCCAGTGTTTTTGCTCTTTACAATAATTTTTGCACGTTCAATTAATTTTCAATTGATTGATAAATTTGCGGGATTTTATTGATGTGAATTAAAAAGCAATAAAAAATAATTCTCTTATTAAAAGCTTCAATTCATTTAATCATACATGTGTGTAAGTGATAACAGCGGTCTAAAGATCGCTCTGATTTTTATCAAGAAATTTTAATTGGACTTTGATCAGTGAACGTTGATCTTGACGTAAAGGACTTTCTGTGTTGTGAATGTATCAACAATAAATTAACGTGACATAAATATGAAAAATTTATGAAAAATGCATATTTTTACTTGCATTTGGCATTAAAGTAAATAATTTAATCCATTAAAAATGTTTTCTTATCGACATACTGACCTGATTAGATTTCGTACTGATTTTTGTGAATATCGTACTGATAAAATTCGTCTAAACACTTCCTCAATAAAAATTTTGGAATTGAAAAAAATTATGTGAACTTGTAAATTGTTAAAGTGCAGTTAAATTTAATTCTCTGTTGGTTGAAGGGTTAAATTGTGTTTTTCTTATTGGCAGTTTTAATTTGATGCAGTATTGAATTTAAAAAACAATATTATTACTGATAACTTGTTGATTCATAAGCTGAACAAGTGTTTAAAAGCATTATCTATTTTAATACAATATGAGACATTGTTTATCCAGTTTAGCCACATTTATATGATTACCAAACCTTTTTGGAACATTAAATTTATTCACCCAACTTAAAACTTTTAAGGAAATTTTATCGTTAAAGTCAGAGTAAAGAAAAATAAAAAGAAACGTATAAAGTAACGACCTTGAAACTAACACAATTTTAAAGTTGTTGTTGATAAAAGCTCAACACTTGGTGCGGCTATTTTTTCATAATCCACTTTTAACTGTTCAGGCGAGCCCACTTTTTCAATATAAGCAAGACGTGTGCTTCCGCATGTTGCAACTTTTCCATGACTCTCAAATCTTTTGGTTGAAATATTTTATACTTTTGTGCTTAGTGCTTCTTAGGTTTTCTGATGATCAGATCCATAAAATAATTATATTATGAAGAATCAAAGAGACATTACTCTTGGTGAAAACTTCTGACACATATTGAATTTAAAATAGATTGAGCAAATATATCAAAATGACATTGTAAACTGCTAATAAATACTTGAGTTGTCAATACAATGAAAGTAATTCAAGTTATCATTTTATGGTCTTTGTTAACAATTCATTAATACTTAATCAGCTTGAGGTTGTTAAACTTATCTACCCGTAATATGCATACGTAACTATATGTGATAAACAAGCATTGTAGTCGGTAATTTTTCTGCTTTTAAAGATAATTGCTAAAGTAGCAATAAAATATTTATTGAGCTCCATATTTAATATTGGACTTTGAACAAATTAATAGTCTGCAGATTGTGATGTTATGCCAAAAGTTATTCAAAGAAAATAATGCTAGGAGTGTAAAACATATTAAATTGAATGCGAATTAGATGACAAAGAATTGACTTAGCATTGAATGCCAATAACTCTTTTATTAATAGCTATACTAAAGTGCAGATTAAAATAAGAAAAATTTGTTTTCGTTTACTTTTAGATGACAAGGAGGTGATATTTATTTTACATGGTCTGGAATTGAAAGAATCTAAGAATAGATTGTAAGATGGCATCCGAGAATGCATATCAAAGTGATATCGATAGTTTTCGATTTCACTTAATCGATTATCTTGTCTTTGGCTCCATGCTACTTTTTAGTACATTAGTTGGCGTTTATTTTGGCTACTTCAGCAAAAGTAAAAAATCTCAAAGCAAGTCATCGTCGTCAACACGTCACAGCGATAACAAATACGATGAAAAACTTCGCGGAGACTTCGGTTCAAAGTCCATGCTTGAATATCTTTTGGGCAGTAGAAAGTTGAAATCTTTTCCAGTGGCAATGTCACTTGTTGCGTCATATATAAGCGGTGTTACAGTTCTAGGAACGCCGGCTGAAATATATAATTATGGTACACAATATTGGTTAATTGTTGTAGCAATTTTCTTCATGGCATTTGTTGTTGCTTACGTCTATTTGCCAGTCTTTTGTTCTCTCAAAGTCGGCAGTTCTTATGAGGTAAAACGAATTTCAGAAATTTATCTAATCATACTTAAAACAAAAGCTTTATTTCTTTTTAATAGTACCTTGAGTTACGATTTAATTCACATGTGAGATCGATTGCAAGTATAATGTTCGTAATTGATGAGGTAATTATGTCAAAAAATAAAATAATATTAAAAATACTGAGTGGACGATATGGTTAGGAATACAGGTTCTCAAAGAAAAAAAAAAAATTATATAATCACTCCGGAGAGAGCAAGAGTTCGAACCTTAGAACAGAAATATTTTCTACTTTGAAATCATTATTTTCTTTACTTTTATGCCTTAAATTTGTTTATTTATGTGACCAAAATACTCTGTGGGTCATATATTCAAAATTAGGCTAAATAAATCTCATTTCCACAGTTCAATGCGAGAATTTCATATTCATTAGCGTATGAACTACTACAGACAAACTTGGAGGGACATTCTTTTTTTTTGAATTCATTGTCGACAATCGTTAATATAATTAATTACGGAAGTTACTGGTAGATAGTATTGTTAATTATATTAAAATTAAAGTAACTTTTTGAATTTAATTCTAATAATTTAAGGTTCAGAATGTTCAGAACACTTTAAATGTTTTTTATGTAAAACGCGTAAAACGTGTAAAACATTCAAAAGGTTTTTGAAAAATTTCTGATCGTTATTTTTATTTTCTTTAGCTCCTTTTCCTGCCGATCATAATTTACGTCCCTGCACTAGCTATGAATCAAGTATCAGGAATGGATATACATCTAATTGGTGCAATTGTTTGCATAATTTGTGTCTTTTACACATTAGTTGGAGGAATCAAAGCTGTAGTTCATACAGATGCATGGCAAATTATTATCATGTTCATTTCTGTGGTCGTTGTAACAATTATTGGAACTGTTCATCTTGGTGGACCATCAGTTGTATTTGATAGGGCAATGCAAGGTGGAAGAATCGAATTTCTAAAGTAAGCTCAACTTTTATATTTTTGTTTAATCTTTTAAAATTATAAAGATAATTTTTCACAGTCTGAACCCATCACCTTATGAACGTCAAACATTTTGGGCTGTTTTGATCGGAGGATTTTGCTATTGGACTAGTTTTAATTCTGTAAATCAAACTATGGTTCAGCGTTACATGTCACTGCCAAATATGAAGAAGGCACGTTTGGCTATTGCTATATTTACTGTTGGAATCATTTGCTTTGTATCTGTTTGCTGTTATGCTGGTCTTTTAATATATGCCAAATATTGGAAATGTGATCCATTGACTAGTGATATGGTGAAGCGAGATGATCAACTTTTTGCAATTTATGTGATGGAAACTGTTGGTGAATGGAAAGGTGTTGCTGGATTATTCATTGCTGGTGTTTTTGGAGCAGCTTTAAGCTCATTATCAGTTGTATTAAATTCAACGGCTGCTGTTTTATTAGAAGACATCCTTAAAGGATGCTTTAAAATGAGACCAAGTGAGAAGGCAGCTGCAATTTTTGTCAAGGTATCAATTTTAGTTCTTGGTGCAATCACGATGGGATTTCTATTTATTGTTGAGAAACTTGGTGGCATACTTGGAGTGGCTACATCATTGACTGCTATTGCAGCAGGTACTACATTTGGAATATTCACTTTAGGTATGTTAAATCCTTATTCGACATCAATTGGCGCAATTTTCGGTGCAATATCTGGCGCTGCTTTATCAGGTTGGGTTTCACTTGGATCACAAATTGCTACAGCTAGTGGCAAAGTTGTAGCACCAAAATTACCGGTATCAGTTGAAGAATGTCCTGTTGGAAATTTAACAGGAATAATTTTTCCTGATATTCCTGAACAGTCAACTGTGTTTCCATTATACAGACTCAGCTATCATTGGATTAATCCAATCGGAATTATAACTGTTGTGACTGTTGGTTCTTTAGTCAGTTACTTTACCGGACCACAAAGATTAGATAAAGTGGATCCTGAACTTATTTCACCAGTCATTCATCGGTTCTTGCCTGACGAATGCTTTCCAAATTATGGAATAAGCAGTAAAAATATGCGCAGCAAAGAAAATATTCAGTTAAATAATAGTACTTCATTTGAAGACGATGAGAATGTTATTCAGAGATGATATATCTAAAAAGAATAGTCTAAAACTTATACTGATTAAGAGACTGGTGCTAGACCAATTTAGGTTTAAACTATTACACATCTTTATCATCTTGATGATAAAAATTGTTGAACTTATTTTATATAAAATTGGTTATTTATATTATTTTAATGACTTTTATTGGCAGTACTTAATTAGGATATTTAGGACATTTAGTTTAATGGTCTGATTGGTACAAAAAGATGGTAACCAGTGTATAACAAAAAAAATACTATAATATTAATATTGTACAGTAAAATTCTAATCCCATCAATCAGAACTTTTTTAAAGATATTTGTGATATCATTTTTTGATACGATTGTTAAACATTGTCAAATTTAGCAAATTTATAAGAATGTATTAAATTTTATGTTCAAGACTGTTGTTAAAAGTGGTCTGAAATTCGATTTCAAAAAAAAATCTTTCACGAAAAAACTGTGATAGTGTTAAATATAATCAAAACCTTTTCAAATTACATGCAAAGTTTTATACTGATTCAGAAGATTTTTGATTTGTACCAATAAAAATAATGCCAAATTTAAGGATTGACTTTAAGAACAAAAAAACACATTTTCAAACTCCAGAAATATTTAAAATCTCACAATTTGTCTTATCCAGGGCCTTATTGATGCAACTCGAGTGTAGACACCTAAAAAATATAAAGTAACACTATGCAATAAAAACTATTAATACATCAACTAACCAGGAACTCCATCAATAGCACATTTGCCACTTTCGAGACCAAATGAAACGATCCCAATAAGTTTTCTGGTTTTTATATCCACTAAAGGACCGCCACTGTCTAAAAAATATTTTTTGGAATGTATGCTTTTTACATAAATTAACATGCCAATTCTCATACCTCCATCACATGAATCTTTGGATGTAGCAGCTGCACAAACCATTCGCGTTGTAATTCCACCTTTTTCTAAATGAATTTTAAAACATTCGACCTGATCGAAAATTTTTAATTCAACCATTCTTAACACTGAACTTGGGATACTATCATTTCCAGTTAAACCCCATCCAGATGTCGTTACGTAAGTTCCTACAGGTATTGCTTGATTTAAAAATGGAAGTTTAATTGCTTTTCTAAACGAATCGAATATAATATTTTTTCGTAAAGTTAGTATAGCTGCATCATAATCTAGAAGTGAGTTGTCATATTTTGGATGAATGTCCACACAGTCAACTTCATGCTCACTACCACCAGTTGAGTGCTCAGTGGAGCCTGCTCGCACTGAAAGATATGATACCGGAACATAGTCTACACCTTAAAAATTATTTTAAATAGTTTAAAAAAATAATATTTGATAAATATCAGATAATAATTTACAATGAGCAGCAGTTAGGATAAATTTTCTCGATATAATGCCTCCTCCACATCTCAAAAATCCAAAATATAACAGTGCTACTTGATAGGGTGCTTGTTCAATTGAAATTTCAAATCCACCAACTATTCTACCAACTCCTTTTACTGAACAAGACACAATTGAAATTGTCAAGAAAATAGCAGCAAAGCTTATGACTTGCATGTCTTATTTGATTGAATGAACTCAAGAAATATTAGAGAAGTGGATTTTTATCTTTTTTATCATTAAGGTTTTAGTATGAATAAAAGTGTAAGATGAAACATTTGCCGATATTTACCTATTGCTATATAAAACAACGGCAAAATAAACAGGATATAAAATACACAAAGAACTAAATTTGCGTGAGTGTCAATGATTTCTTTATTGGTATAATTAAAACATTTATTGAAGCTTGAAAAAATTATTACTAGGCAAATAGAAATTTCTGAGTGTGTTTTAAGAAACTAATTAAAATATTTTCAAGTCTCATTTAATGCTTAAAATTTGATTATTTTTTTTATCCACTGTCTGATTGATGCCACACGAGTATAAACCCCTGCAATAGATAAAATTATATAAAATAATTCAAATGATTAACTTTAAAAAACAATTCAGTTGTACCAGGAATCCCTTCAACGGCGCATTTTCCGCTAATATCTCCGAACGAAACAATCCCGACAAGCTTTTTTCGTTCCACATCAACTAAAGGACCTCCACTATCTAAGAAAGATTAAGGAGTCTATTAATAAGTTGAAAATACGTTAAAAATGATACATGCCTCCATTACAAGTATCTTTGAACTCAGCAGCTGCACAAATCATTCTTGTTGTTGTTCCACCACCTGAAGCATGTTTATTGAAGCATTCAACTTGATCAAAAATTTTCAGTTCAATCATTAATAAAATGAGATTGGTAGAACCGCCATTTTCAGTCAGCCCCCATCCACTTGTGGTAACAAAACTTCCAGCAATAAACGGTTCATTTAAGTATGGAAGCTTAATTGGCTTTCGAAATGAATCGAATTTGATGTTATTTTTCAAAGTTAAAATGACTGCATCATAATCGAGAAGATAATCATCGTAAAGCGGATGAACATCAAAGCGACTGACTTCATGTTCACTACCTCCATTTGAATAATTAGTAGAACCCACACGTACTGTGAGATATTCAGCTACAACCAAATCACCATTTCCTTGAAACATACCTTTAAAAATTTCAAAATACGTTTAAAAACCAATTTTTTCTTCCATTTTTAAAACTCACAATGACCAGCAGATAAAATGAATTGGCATGAAATAATGCTTCCACCACATCGCAAGTTTCCAAGATAAAACATTGCTACCTGATAAGGTGCTTGTTCGATCGATATTTCATTTCCACCAATTATTCTACCGATTCCTCTTCCTGAGCAGTAAACTATGTAGAAAGTGAAAATCACTAAACTTACAATCTTCATTTCTTCCTTGAGCAGGTTCACGACCAAATGAGCTTTAAAATATAAAACATTTACTTTTATATCAACTAATTTTCGCTTAATGGTTATTATTAAGCACACATTAAATATTATTCGTTTATTTCCTTTAAAATAATAATTTTATTAATTCTTGAAGATAAGACTTACAAGTTTCAAATAAATGTGATTTTTGGATAGTCTTGCAGTCACCTTTTAGCTTTCAAAAATAAATGATTATTTTTAACGTGGTTCAAATCTCATTTTAACTGGATGATTTGTGCGAAGTACAACATCTGCGATAAATCTTAATTCTTCTCGTTTTGTAACCGGTAATATTTTGAAATTTTTGATTACTTTAGTCAGCATGATTTTCAGTTCAAGCATGGCAAATCGTTGACCAATACAGTTACGCTATAGATTAAATTGAAATTAAATTCATAAAATTAAATTTATTATGTTAATGAGAGTTTATACCATTCCCGCTGAAAAAGCAATGAAAGCAAAGTTGCTCCTTCCTACAGAATTTTCTGACAAAAAACGATCCGGATCAAATTTTTCAGGATCTGGAAAAACTTCAGGATCACGATGAATGTCATAGATAAAAATTTCCATCAATGTGCCCTTTTTGAATAAAAATCCATCTATGGAAAATTTAAAATAAGCATAAATAGAATTAATTTAAGATTTTATTTTTACCATGCAACACGTCTTCAGACAAGCTTCTAGATATGTATGGAACTGGTGGATAAATTCTCAGAGATTCTTTTAGCGCTCTCTCCATGTAGTTCATCTTATTCAAATCATCTGTTGTAAGATCATCCCTTCCATCGGTCACTTCTTGAATTTCTTGAAATATTTTTTCCTGTACTTCTGGATTATGAGCAAGCAATAACAAAGTAAATGTCATTCCAGCTGAAGTAGTATCATGTCCTTCAAAAGTAAAAGTATCTGTTTCTTCTATAATTCCTTCATCGTCTATTAATCCTTCAGATTGTGCTTGTAATAAGGTATCCATCATAGCAGTCCGTTTTTTCTTTGTACCCATATAGATGTTCTCATTGTCATCAACTTGTTCTTCTTGTACATTTTCTGTTTTCTTCGTAATGAACTCCTTCCTTCTCTTATCAATAATAGTTTGTGTAAATTTATGAACAGGAACCAATATTTCATCAATTTGTTTTTTATATCCCAAAAGTGAGTAAAGAAAATCAATGTGAAGCCATGGTCTGACTGATCTATAAACTAAAGCCTTTCCAATGCTATAAATATTATTTCGATATTCCAAACCATTGTTTCCAAGTTGTGTTAAGTTTACTCCCATTGCTGACTCTATTGTATATGCACGTGGGAAAATGTTAACATTAAATATCAGAACAAATACATTCATAGCTTGTTACTCACCGCATACTGTATTGAGAGTAAATTGTGTGGATATTGGGATCATATCAACAACTTTTCCAACAGTTCTCTTTAAATCAAAAACAAGTTGATCAGCTTCCTCTCTGAAATTAAGTTTATACTCAGTTATAGCTTTACTCTCCTTTTTTTCCAACTTAATCTATTTTGTTTATCGTTATCAATGTAGAAAATTTCGTGTGTTTACTTAAAAATTTCAGCGAATTCCTTCAAAATATTAAAATGAAATGCAGGAGTTAACATTCTTCGTCTCTGGTGCCACTTTTCACCATCACTTGTTAGTAATCCAGTTTTTATGAACGGATGCAAGAAGTTGTAGACAAAACCTTTCGTTAAATGTTTTGAGGATGCACTGAGAATTTTTTCAGCATCTTTAGCTCTTATGATACAATAAGAGTTCATAAAAAATAATCGTGCACGTGCAGATCTTTTGAATTTTGCTGCAAATTTTCTTGGTTCAAGAAAAAGTTCCTCTAAAAGTTAAAGATTATAATTATGTCCTGCAGGTATTGAACTTTTTTTTTATTTTTGAATACCTGCATTCATCATTGCAAAAGGAATTCCATTTTTCATTAACGGAATAGACGCATCTTCTTCAAAGTTTTTTGAAAAATCTGTATTAAATAAGTATCGGTTCTTCCAAATAAAATGTGATAAAAAAACCACTAAAATTGCGAAAACGTAAAGGAACATTTTCTTTAATTTCAACCTCACTCTTCAAATCGCGGACTGAAACTGATAAGCGTTTATTTTCTAAGATTTTTAATCTCAAAAGGTTGATTTTTTTTAAAAGAGAGGGAATTGAGAATATCATGTACTTCAGAAAAACAAACAACCAATAAAAAGTACAAAGTTCAATAAGTTATTAAAAATTGCAATTGGTAACTCCATTTTCAATGAATGTTTTGAATGTTTTGATCACGAATGATGACCAAATAATGCTGACATATCTGTTATTAAATGAGTTTGCTAAATTGTGTGATGAAAGAAGCTTTTGTTTGAAAATATCAGTGCTTCTTAATCTTTTAAAAACACAAAACCGTAAACCAGATATACAGTTTAAAAGTAGTGTGCCGATATTCATTTAAGATTTTTTTGGAATATAAAAGTGTGTTTTGGAGCATAATTTGGGAAGTACTGAGATAGATAATAATTGTGTAATTGAAACAAAATTATTAGATGTTATCATGCTTGATAAACAATTAACGTAAAATAAACAAGTATTATAGCATGACAAACCTCTTCTTTTTTAAACTGAATGCTTGCTCTTCAGCATTAAATTTTTATTTGGAACTATTGAAATGACAATTCATAAGCTTTAATTTCTTGACATAAACTTAATTATTATTGGATTTTGGGTTCTTAAAACGATGTCTCCTTTGAAGATAAGCTCATCAAATGACGTTACTGGTAAAATTTTGAAGTTCAAAACAATTTTTGTCAGCATTGTTTTTAATTCTAGCATAGCAAAACGTTGACCAATGCAGTTGCGCTAAAATAAATACAAATGTAAATGACTTAAATTTAATAAATAATCCATGTAATATTTAACCATTCCTGCCGAAAAAGCCAGGTACGCAAAATTATGTCTCTTCTCGAAGTTTTCTGGTAAAAAGCGATCGGGATCAAATTTTTCAGGCTCTGGAAAATATTCTGGATCACGATGAATATCAAAAATCATAATATTAACTATGGTGTCTTTCTTTAACAGAATTCCATCTAGATAAAGTACAAAATGACTGATTTAATATGTAACATTAATGTATCTTATAGTATATACCGTTGTAAAGATCATCAGACAATTTTCTGGCTATAAAATGAACAGGTGGATATAATCTTAAAGATTCTTTCAAAACTCTTTCCATCAAGTTCATCTTATTCAAGTCATCTAAAGATAATTCATCTCTTCCATCAGTGATGTCTTTAATTTCTTGGAATATCTTTTCTTGTACTTCCGGATGATGTGAGAGTAAAAATAAAACAAATGTCATTCCGACTGACGTTGTGTCGTGTCCTTCGAAAGTAAATGTGTCTGTTTCCTCTATTATTCCTTCGTCGTCAATTAACCCATCTGATTGAGCTTGCAATAAAGTATCCATCATAGCTGCTCTTTTCTTTTTTGAGCTTAAATAAATATTTTCTTTGTCATTTTCGTTATTATTTAAATCTTGAGTTTCTAATTTCTTTAGTAGATACTCGTTTCTTCTGCTTTTAATTATGGTCTGAGTGAATTCATGAACTGGACGTAGAAGTTGCTCCAATTGGTAACTGTATCCTAATAGTTTGTAGATTATGTCAACCAATAACCAAGGTTTTAAAATTCTTTGGACAAGCAGTTCACCAATAAGGTAAATATTATCTCGATATTTATTTCCAGTATTTCCCAAATTACTTAATTTGACACCCATTGCTGACTCTAAAATCAAATATTATTTTAAAATTGACAAAATCATTAAATTTATATCTTACCACAAATTGTATTCAATGTAAATTGTGTGGAAATGGGAATAATGTTCACTTCTTTTCCTTTTTGTGATTTTATAACTTCAACCAAACGATCACTTTCCTCCCTAAAATTAAATTATTTTTTTAATATTACCTTTTTTGAAATTTTTAAACTTAAATACTTAAAAATTTCGCAAAACTCTCTCAAAATATTGAAATGAAAAGCCGGTGTAAGCATCTTTCGACGCTGATGCCATTTTTCACCTGCACTTGTAAGCAGACCAGTCTTTAAAAATGGATGAAGCAATTCATAAATTAGTCCTTTTTCCAAGTGCTTCGATGAGCTTAAAATCTTTTCAGCATCTTTGGCTTTAACAATAAAGTAATCTGTGTTTGCAAAAATTGTCAGATGGTACGACTTTTGATACTTTTTAGCTATTGTCCGAACAAGCTGAAATATTTCGACTGAAAATAAAAACATAATTTGCAGATCACGTGAAAAAAAATTTGATTATATTTGACCTTAAAGTAACACGATTCAAACTGTTTTCATTGACTGAGCTAAAGATTTAAAGATTGTGAGTTTCATAATTTATAATTCATCAGCTATTAGAGGGGGTTTATTTGATGATTAGCAAAATTGCAGAAGTGTAGCTAAGGAAAGGAGGAAGGGGGGGGGGGGGGGGGGGTCGATGTGGTCCTAATACCACTTAAAAAAATTTCAACATTGTTTTCAGAAAGTTTGTTTTTTTTCTACAAAATTAAGAATTGGATCCTCTTTAATATTTTCAGCAATAGCTGTTTATCACAAAGATTTTTTATTTAAGTTGTGTGATTTAATTTATCAAATTCAGTTATTATTAAAATTATTGTTTTATTGATAAAATTATTTATTTTTATCTGCTAGTCTTATCAAAATATAAAAAGTATTAATATGAAAGCAGCTATTTATATATTTTGCGACCTTTGTATTTTATTTTTCAGGAATTAATCGATTTCAATGGAATTTAGAATTTTAATTTGATAATTTTAAAGAAATCTTACCAGGATTAAAGAATGCAATACTAAAGCCATTCTTTATCCAGGGAACATCATTGTCACTGAAATTTTTGTAAATATCTCGATTGAAAAAGTGTCGATTGTTCCACAAATATATTATTGTAATTAATAACAATGTTGCGATTATGAGGAAGAACATTTTCACCGGTAAAATATTTTTTTGCTTTTTCTTCCACGAGCCTACAGCACAAACTGTGAGGTTTATGATTATTATTGTTTGTTAAATTACGGAGAGTAAAAAATAAAATTTGATAATCATTCCTATCAGCAGAAATGATTTTGAGAGAAACAAAAACCAGCAAATGAGAACAGTGCTTTAAAACTGAGTACATATGTACCTCTTGCTTAATGAATTAAACTTAAATAAAGAATCATCAATTTATAAACAAAAATCTACTTTCGGGAAACAAATTTCATTTCAATAGGATCTTTTGCTCGGAGAACTATATCTGCTATGAAGACCAAATCTTTGATTTTTGTAACTGGTAAAATTTTGAAATTCTGAATAACTTTAGAAAGCATAATTTTGAGTTCCAACATTGCAAAACGTTGACCAATACAGTTCCTCTGAAATTTAATTAAAAATAATTTACTGAGATTGTAAAATTATTCATATTTGACTAACCATGCCTGCTGAAAAAGCTAGATATGCAAAGTTGTGTCGATTGTCACAGTTTTCTGGAAGAAACCTGTCAGGATCAAATTTATCAGGATCTGGAAAATGTTCTGGATCACGATGAATGTCGCATATGAATATTTCGATTATGCTGCCCTTTTTATAAAGAACATCTCCTAAAATTAATAATCAATTTAGCAATTAAAGAACTATTAAGGAATAAATTACTTATTTGGACATCGTCATCAAAACATCTGCTTATGAATGGAACTGGTGGATATAACCTCATAGATTCCTTAAGAGCTCTCTCCATATAATTCATTTTGTTCAAATCATCCATTGTTAAATCATCACTTGTGCTGATTACTTCTTGAATTTCCTTAAAAATCTTTTCTTGCACTTCTGGATGATGAGCAAGTAATAACAGTGTGAATGTCATTGCAGTTGATGTTGTATCATGTCCTTCAAATGTAAATGTATCAGTTTCTTCAATAATTCCTTCATCGTCGATCAGTCCTTCTATTTGTGCTTGTAATAATGTATCCATCATGGCTGCACGTTTCTTTTTCGTTCCCATATAAATATTTTCATTTTCATCTTTTAACTCAATTTCTTCTTTATGCTGTTTATTTAAAAATTCCATTTTTCGTTTTTGGATTATTGATCGGGTAAATGAGTGAACTGAAGCTAAAACATTGTCTAGAATCTTCTGGTATCCAACCAGTGAATAAATGAAATTAAGGTGGAGCCAAGGTCTAATAATTCTGTGAACTAAAAGCTTTCCAAATGCATAGATACTTTCACGATATATAACACCATCGTCTCCTAATTCTGAAAGTTTGACACCCATTGCTGATTCTGAAATATAAGTATGAAACAAAAATAATCGTTTGAATAAGGATTGTTCACTTACCACAAACAGTATTTAAAGTGAATTTTGAAGAAATAGGAATTATATTAATCTCGTTATTGGATTGAGATCTTAAGCTGTCAACTAACTTATCACTTTCTTCCCTGAAAGAAGATTTAATTTTTTAAGAATAATTTTGATATAAATTCTGCAAAGTACTTAAAAATTTCGCAGAACTCCTTTAGGATGTTGAAATGAAATGATGGTGTCAACATCCTACGTCTCTTATGCCACTTTTCTCGACTACTTGTGAGCAGACCGGTTTTCAAAAATGGATGCAACACATCATACAACATGCTTTTGTTGATATGTTTTGATGATCCAAGTATGATTGCTGCATCTTCTGCCTTTATTACTGCATATGTCCAAATCAAAAAGAATTTTCGTCTAAAAGACTTTTGGATTAATTTTGCACATTCTCGTTCATACTTAAAGAGTTCCGCTGTAAATTGTATATAAACAAAGATTGCATTCAGTTGGTGTTTGTAAACAAAATAACTGATTGCCGAAAATAGAACCTTAATGTGACGAAAATGATAAGGAGATTCCAAAGTTCCAAAGGTGATTCAAAGTCATCAACTCTATGCGATCTTTAATGTTTTCAATTTCTCTCGTTTCTATAAAGTTTTATATGATTCAATTTGTTGATGAGCAACTTACCAGGATTCATTAATGCTAAATCAAATCCATTTTTTATTAGAGGTGTTGCAGTCTTGCTGAAATTTCTAAACGGTTGGTGATTGTATAAAGTTCGAATATTTCGCAAAATTGCCAGTACAATAATAAAAAATATTGTAATAATTAAAATAATCATCTTTTACGGTTTAATTCTGTAAATATGCAGAACAAGACTACTTCAGAAGTCACAAAAAATTAAGTTTATTTTTTGAGAGAATTTTTTATTTTTGATAGCATTTTATTCATTTTCTCAATTCAAATTTCATCCTCACGGGATCAACTGTTCTTAAAACCAAATCAGCTTTGAAAACAAGTTCCTCTCTTTTTGTGACTGGTAAAACTTTAAAGTTTTTGATAACATGTGCTAACATGATTTTTAACTCTAACATTGCAAAGCGCTGGCCGATGCAGTTTCTCTGAAAATTTAAAAAGAAAATTGAACAAAGACATATTTTTGGACCTTACTCTTAATATACCATTCCGGCTGAGAATGCAACAAACGCGTAGTTGTGTCTATTTATACAGTTTTCAGGAAGAAAGCGATCAGGATCAAATTTTTCTGGATCTGGAAAATATTCTGGGTCACGATGAATGTCATAGATCATAATTTGAACAAAAGATCCTTTTGGGTATAAAGCGCCATCTGAAATAATTAATATGATAATTGAAACTTGAGTTTTTGAATTTACAAAATTTTACCATGTTCAAAGTCCTCTGTAAAAGTTCTTGAAATGTAAGGAACTGGTGGATAAACTCTTAGAGATTCTTTTAGCGCTCTTTCCATGTAATTCATCTTATTTAAATCATCTGTGGTAAGATCATCCCTTCCATCGGCCACTTCTTGAATTTCTTGAAATATTTTCTCCTGAATTTCTTGATGATGTGCTAGCAGCAATAATGTAAATGTCATTCCAGCTGATGTAGTATCGTGTCCTTCAAAAGTAAATGTGTCTGTTTCTTCTATAATTCCTTCATCGTCTATTAAGCCTTCAGATTGTGCTTGTAATAAAGTATCCATCATTGCAACTCTTTTCTTTTTTGATCTCAAATAAATATTTTCGTCATCAGTTTCTTGGATTGGTTGTTTATTATTAATGCTTCTTTTAATAATAAAATCAATTCTACGTTTGCTAATGATTGACTGAGTAAATTCATGAATAGGCTTAAGAACTTTATCTAACATTTTCTTAGAACCAAAAAGTCTATACGCAAAATCATTAAAAAGCCATGGTTTTGTCATTCTAGAAACTAATAAACTACCAATTTCATAGATGTTGTTTCTATAAGTCTTTCCATCATTTCCCAGATCAGAAAGCTTAATTCCCATTGCCGATTCTGTTATGTTAATTTTTTTAAAATTAATGCCTTTTAATTTATTTAATTTTGTGCTTACCACAAACAGTGTTGAGGGTGAATTGAGTGGAAATCGGAATTATGTCAATCTCTTTTCCTGTTAAAGGTTTTAACTGCTGAACCAATTTTTCACTTTCTTCTCTGAAAATCTTAATAATTATTGGACCTATTGTAAAAATACGGATATTATTTACCTGAAAATTTCACAAAATTCCTTTAAAATATTAAAATGGAAAGCAGGAGTTAACATTCTTCGCCTCTGATGCCATTTTGCTCCTTCACTAGTCAATAGACCAGTCTTTAAAAATGGATACAAATATTGGTAAGCTCTTCCTTTCTTCAACAACTTTGATGAGCTTAAAATCTTCTCAGCATCTTTAGCTCGTATAATGTTGTATACAAAAAAGCACCCAAAAAAACTATGTTGATAGGACTTTTGATATTTAATAGCGCCGTTTCGAACAAATTGAAAAATTTCGACTATGAATTAATAATAATTTAAAAAATACGAGATTAATCAAAAATAGAGATTTTACCTGGACTCATTCTGACAATATTAAATGAATTCTTTAACAGAGGAATTGAAGTTTTGCTGAAATTTTTGAGCGGATCATGGAAAATATAATCACTGCACATCCACAATATAAATCCAATAAAAATCAATATGATTTCGAGAATCATTTTCGTGCGTTTTACTTTAAAAGTCGAAAATGAACTGAGAAATTAATAATTTTGGTTTTAAATTTTTGTTATAATTATAAAGCTTATTAAGGTATTCTTATCAAGCTACTCACACTCATGGGTATCTGTTAGCGATTAGAGAGAAAGAGTAATTGAGAATGTTTTGTTACGAAAAAATATAAATACTATCAAAATATGGAGCAGTTTTATAGATGTAGAGTATCGTAACTCTCGCATGCTAAGTGTCCAAAAACTGCTGTCGATTTTCACAATATTCTTATTTTGATGATTTATTGGACATAATTTTTCAATTCATTTACATTTATACAAATTATAAAAGGCCATTGCACATTAGTCATCTGCTCGTGCATACATATTTGCTTGTTTCTATTTAATCACCCTAATTGGAAAGATGATGATGTTGATGTGGATGACGTTGATGTCAATTTAAATATTTGATTGGGGACACAAGTGAATGAGATGGAGATAGATGTAATTGGCGAGAGGGAAAAAGAAAATGCGATGTAATGAATGAATGAATGGTACTGTTGCTTGCCATACTTGTCCCTCTCCTCAATTTAATTGGCAATCTTTTCAATATAAAATTTTTATATTTGGGTGAAGCTACCCCATGAATTATTATGGTTTGTGTAACGATGGAAATTGAATCTCTCTTTTTCACTCTCCGTATATATGAGCGACATAAAAATTATTAAAACTCGATTCGAGGTACGGGGATGAGTGATAAATTTTATGACAACTTAACTTGTTGATTGTTCATTCACTGTTGAAACTTAATTAACGATATCCAATTAATTAATTTTTTCATTAATTTATTTTTAATTGGTGTTTATTGTAAAGACTCAGAATTGCAAGTTAAGAGGCCTGATCTTCAGATTTCTTGTGGTAACTTATAAATCTAAAATTATATAAAGCATCAATACGCACACATAATCATCATCATCATCATCGTCCCTTAATAAAGATCAGAATCATTCTGCAGTTTTTTTATTTCTCAAAAATATAAAATAAAACCAAAAGAAAAGAAAGGAAAAGTAAGAATAAAAATTCTCTGCAAAAATGTATGAATTCAGAAGAAAAAGAAAGGAAAGAAAAAGCTAAAATAATGTCGGTTGGGGATTTTGTCAACAAATTGGACTTCTTATCTCAAGTATTTTATCACTTCACAGAGTCAATTACATTTCTGTGTGGCTGATGCTTTTCTTAACGCTTTTTTCTCTCCCTTATTTATCTTCATGACAAATCCCATCACTAAAGTGCCTTTCTACCATCATCAACATCATTTTAGTGAAAGAAATTTTGCGAGTTGAATTGTAAACGACGGTCTGCAAGTGTCCATTTAACACTTAAGACATTGCAATAGATTATATGGATTATATTGGAGGAACAAGTAGTGTCATTTATATGTTTCCCATATCTACTCAAAATCTTTAGTAACAATAAAAATAATATGATGTCCATCAAATAAACTTGTGTAAGGACATCATTTCGTTCTATTGCTAAGTCTTGTTGATTGTGATTTGAAGTGACTATAAAGATAAACGCTTTGAGCAGCTAGTTTTAAAAAAAATGTTTGTTTTTCAACCTTTCGATTCATGAATCATGACTAGGTTGCATATATTCAAGGCAAAAGATCAATTTAGGCACGTAAAAGCTTTTATAAAATTTTCCAAAAAAGGATTTTTTGTTAAATAAATAAATTAGTTTTAATGCACGAATATGTAAGTTTTATATTTTCGGGGCAAATGTTGCAAAATCTTTTAAAATATCGACAATTTAGCTAGTCCAATAAAATTAATTTACATTAAACTAAGCGTGCAAAAACTAGAATCGAGTTTTTGCCTGCATATTTTGACATTATCATTATAATTGTAAATAAAAAATGCACAAAATTGTTTTATGAAACGTGCCCTGGACAATTAAACTAAATAGAAAATTATAACATAATTAAATATTTAAATCACACAAAATTGTCGAAAATTACTTTGAATAAATACAGCACAGCAGAGAAAAATTATTAAAAGTTTTGCTGAACATGCTGCTTTTCCTACCTGCCTATTCACTCATTTGTTTATTTATTTAACATTCCGTACCCTCATCATAATAATCATAATCATCATCAACGTAGTTGAGGAAGTAGAAATAAAAATTTAATTTAATCATAACAATATCGACTGTGTGCTTTTATATTTATTTTTGAAAGTATTATTCATAGCCTTGCGAATAAAACTACAATTTTTGTTGCTCTACAAAATCGCTTCGATGTCGAAAAAATAAATCAACTTTTAATTGTTTGTGTTTTGTGAATAGAGATATAAGCATAGAGATATAAAACGGCACATATATAAATTTATTAAGGGAGCATACAAAAAATTTTCATTTGAATTTATTTATTTATTTGGATAGAGAGTTGAGTACTGTAGGAGAAAAATATTTTCACAATTGTTGCAATTTTTTTGGATATATATAATTGGCGATTTTAGCATATTTTCTTGCTAGAAAATTTTTTGGATAACAATTATCTAAAATTAGTACAGATTGAATGCCTGGAAGACATCAGGTAAATATTAAAGATTTTTCTGCACTAAGCAGAACTGCCCATCGTTCTGAATATTATTTATAATTTTTGTTAAACCTTTTAAAATGGAATTTAGGACTCAACACCACTAAAACTAAGAGCAATTATCAAGTTCATAAATAGATTAGTTACAAATACGTTATAATAATTAGTTTGCATAACGTAACATGTTAAGACTAGAGAGGGTTGAAAAATAATAATTTGTGGCATTAAATGTATGTATAGAAATTCGAGCTACATAATTAGCTAGCAGCAATTTTGTATTAATTAGTGACTAATTACATCGCATATCGACTTCAAAATTTGATTATTATTATTATTTAAATAGCGTAGAGATTATTTAAAACGCGAACGTGGAAAATTTTTGTGAACAACGATAAAAGCTTATATCAATTTTATAATTTGCCGTTCACATCATTAGCATGCTAATTAACTTTGAAAATTTTCATATTTCCATGTTGATGCTTGTGATGAGATAGAAATTTTTCCATTTATATATTCTAATGCTTCTAAAAACTTCAAAACTGAAAATCAAGCCACAAAAATGAAAAATTTTATTCAAGAATAACTCGTTTTATGTCATTTATTAAGCATAACTTTTAAGATTCTATACATTGTGTCGATAATTAAATTTTCGATAATCATAATCAATACGTTCTTTTATTAACGCTCATGAATGACTTTAGGAATGAAAAATAATGAAAAATCTCGAAGATTTATGGCATAAAATATTTTCATTACATTATATTAAATGATGAATGTATTTGACATTGATAAGCATCATTTTCATTTCACGTATCAAAGTTATACTGGCAAAAATTTCATTATTTAATTAATTAACTTGAAATCAATTAAGATTGTTATTTGAGTTCACATGAATTTTTTTCCTCTTTTTATTTTTTGCCTCCAAGGATGAAAAGTATGTTATTATATGCGTTGGATGAAAAACAAAAAAAAAATTGTGTGGGAGAAAGAGAGAGAAAGATTCAAATTTTAATTAAAATTTTATGAAATGAGCTATGAAACGAACATAACTGTCAGCACCATGAGTTCCTTCTTATTTTTCGATTATAAGATCTTTTTTTTTTTTTGAAAACTTGAGGTTTCTTTGTTTGGTAAGAGTTGGAAACTGTTGTGGTACTAAAAGTTTGAAATTACTTTAAGGGCAATTTGAACAAATTTATGAAGTTTTAGCATTAATCTATGGCAGTTGAGCCTTCAATATAGGTTCATAAAGATTTAGTCTTTTATCTATTGAAAATTCGCCCTAATATTCTACAAACAAGGCAAGACAGAAATATTTTCAAATTTTCATCAATCCCAACCCATACCACAACTATTCATTGTCAGAAGAAAAATTGTACATAGTTTTGCTGAACAACAAAACACATTTCATCGCCATTAATTCTCCTTTCTTCTTTTCATGTAAAAACTCACTTTAGGCAATATGAAAGAAATAAAATAAGCAAGCAAGTTAGGGAGAGAAAAATTGGCTCAATTGCAAATGAAAGGAGATTGTTCCAACATGCAGATAAATGAAAATTTTCCTATTTCATGCAAGTGCTTGCTGAAAAGCATCCTAAGGGCTCATAATACAATTTAATTAAGCAACAATTCTATTCAGAAAATGAACATGGAAATACATCAGATTCATTTCAATTGGTGTGGGATGAAGAAAAGTTTGTTGCTAATGCTACAAATAAAATAAAAAATTTACAAATATAATAGTCTGCCATATAGTTGAAAGTATCAAGTAACAGACCTAAATGTCTTTTAATTGCATTTCCAAATAAAAAGAAAAAACAATTTAATTTTTCTGGCATTTTTCTGTCGACACAGATTTTTAGAGTTTTTGATTTTGAATAGATAGATTTATTGAGGTGCTTTTTAAATTTTCATTACACTAGATTTCGATTCAGGAACCCCTAAATACTAATTTACCTAGAAAATATAGAAAAGTTTTGATGTAGCAGAGAAATTAGTAACAGAATGAATTGAAAAATTCTCTATTTTATTGAAAGAACAGATGGAAATTTAACCAATTAAAAAAAGATATTTGTGTGTCCACAGAAGATATTTCTACAGAAAATCATGTGTGCATGTACATGTGCCTATTGAAATGTATCGTAATTGCTGCCTTTGGCCAACAAATTTTCTCTATTTATGACCATAAAAACGGATGTTTTAATTATTCAACATTTGCGTGCGTAGGTGAATTCTCTCAGTATGTGCCCCAACATTCAATTTTTAGTATTTTCTATGTGCGTGTACATATCTCATGCATGCATTTTCAACTATTCAAAATTGTCATTTCTTTTTTCATAGAATGATAATTTTATCTCTTTCTACATTTATATCTTGTTCCATGTACAATCATACTCAATTGTTTCATAAAATCTAGTCTATAAGATGAAACAAAATGAATGAGGAAATTCTA